AGCATCTACAAGCCTAAAACGTGAAGTAAGTCAGTTTAACAACATTTTCTATAACATACTAATCCTCCAAATCCATTTATTTCTGAAAATTGCAGCAAAAGCAAATGTTGTACATTCCCTTTAATAGTGTTACTTATTTCATAAAACATTATCTTTAACCTTAAAATTTTGTAGTCTACATGTATGTATATGCATGTACTGTTTTCAGTACCATTTGTCATAAATTGCATACATTCGTACACATTATCACTGTTTTTGGGCCAAATAAAGAGTATGGCTGGATTGCTGGAATTTCTGTACTGATTAGTCATTATTTGAGCGAGAGGTGCTCAGTAGTTTTTGAATTAGACAAAAAAGTATTGGAGGGGGACTTTCTTTTTTTGGTTGAGTGTATATAGAGTGAACAAAACCAAAGAAATGTGAATGAATTGTCTCTCTAATACGGGTATAAGTGAAAGTGAATACGTTTGTGCGACATTTCGAAAGGTGTAAATTTAGGTGAAACTTCACAAATTGACTTGATGCATCTAAATTATTCAATAGCATTGCTATATAGAAGCTAATTCCGACATTGAGACTGAAAAGGACAATTGATCAAAATGCGGCGCGCGGAGGCATTTAATGGTTGTGCCTCTTTTGTTGACGTTTATAAAATATGCAAGACTTCAGCTCGTTTATTTCATTTCTACAAGCAGCGGTTCAAAGAAGGATGCATAATGACATCATTAGAGTGGTTTTCAATGAAAGGGTATTGTTGTTGTGATGCAAAGTGTATGGCAATTTTTATATCCTTCATTTATCACCGTGCATGACGTGCAAGGCCAAAGGAACACGTTGCAAACCACCATGCGACTAGTCGGTTCGGAGTAGTCTGGTTCCCAGACCAAAAGATTCTGACTATTCCAGCTGATGAATCTTAGGTCAGGCAGCCTCCGTGGCTAAAAATAAACATGACGACATTGATGGCCCTTTTTCAAAGCTCGGCTTCGTTTCCGATTTCGCTTTTTCGCTTGTAGCTTTTAATGTTCTGATCAAATTTCTAAATAAATCACTTGCTTCGTAATATCATACAGTTATGACAATACAGTTTGATGTTTCTGTAAGATAACACTGACTAATGTTGATCTGGAATCTTCAACATAAGGCACCCAAATATCACTGTTAGCAGGCAGAGCCGAATAAAGACCGAGTTTTGGAAAATCTCGGTAACGGTCGTCAAATTCAAAATTGTACATGACGCAGCAAAAAGTTCGCCCATACGGTCCGAGTATATTTGATGCACAAAATCGTCGTTGAATTTCAAGTTTTCTAGATGAAAGCAATGAATATTAATTATCAACTCATTTAAAATAAAATTAACAAGCAATTAGCAGTTAATTAAACCTATATAATATACTCGGAAATACTCGGGCGCTATCCGATTGTCAACGAAACGAATTCGGCAAACTTCGGAAATTTTCGGAAAAAGGAGGAATTCCTCTTGTTTTAGTCACGTGACGTAAATTGTAATACAATGTATTACCGGAGGCTACCGGACCTATCAGGAATAGTCAGAATCTTTTGGTCTGGGAACCAGACTAGGGTCGGAGTAGGAATCGAGTTTCAGGTGTTTTTTTTTCAATAATGGGCCCACCTGTTTTTAAAGTGTTATTACTGATGAAGCTACCCTGTTTAACCTTTCAATTCCCAAAAAGCATACAATCGCGCACTGCATGCTCAGCAGATACCAGTTCGTCAAGCTTTCCACCAGCTTCTCCACGGATGATAATTTATTGTTGACACACAATGTCATTTAAATTTAATTTATTTTCAAAGCCTTCTACCATTCTAGTCTTCATTTCTTGAAACAGAAAGGTACAGACTTGTTAGTATAACTACCAAGTAAACACATTTGTCACTTTTAACGTGTTATTAGTATTTTGCTTGCTGAGGAGGGAAGTATCTTTAAATTAACAATGGGAACACAAAAGAGTAAACAAAAACAAAGAAATGTGGATCCTAATGAATTGCCTGTCTATACGGGTATAAGTGAATGTTTATGCGTTTGTGGTACATTTCGAAAGGTGTCAATTTAGGTGAAACTTCACAAATTGACTTGATGCATCTAAACTATTAAATAGCATTGCTATAGAAGCTAATAATTCCGACACTGAGACTGAAAAAGACAGTTTATTAAAATGCGGCGCGCACAGGCAATTAATGGTCGTGTCTCTTTGTAGATGTTCATAAAATATGCAAAACGTCAGGTCGTTTATTTCATTTCTACACGCAGCGGCACAAAGACGGATGAATAATGATATCATTAGAGTGGTTTTCAATGAAAAGGTATTGTTGCTTGATGCAAATTGTACGGCAATTATATTGAGAAGCTGGTAGAAAGCTTGACGAATCGGTATCGGCTACATGAACAGCGCATAGCCTCATTATAATCAGTAATACTACAGGGTGGTTCAAACAGAAGGATCCCACTTTTGACAGAAATGTTAACCTAAACTGTTTTTTTTTTACAATGTAGTGAAGTATAGCTCTTCAACCATACGTGGTGAAAAAAAAAATCTTTAACAAAATCGCAAGAAGTGTGTTATTATGCTAATTTGTATGCAAGTCACCAAAATCACTGTTGTCCACGTGTAAGTCTAGTGTAGTGTTTTTTTGTCTTCAAATCAAGCTCCGGAGCTCAGTCAAGCGTATGGAAAAAAAGCCGTCCGTGGACAAACAGGTTTTGCACATGACATTTGTATACTATACCATATCATAGGCGTAGCGGGGGGGGGGGGGGGGGGGGTAGGGGGTATTGAACACCCCCCCCCACAATATTTTGTCACCAGCGCTTACCGCCTCCCCCCCCCCCCATATTTGTAAATAGTGCCCTTCTTTTGTTAACAAGTGCCTTTTTTCTGAACAAGAGCCCTTTAAAAACAAAGAAGTCGTGCTTTTTTGTGGCATAGTCCCTTTTTTATTTCGCGCACGTATCGCCCTGAAAAGCACCATTATAGTGTGCATAATCGTCGGTTTTGAATAGCCCCCCCCCCCCCGCCCCACTGTTTGATTTACTGAGGCCAAGTGCCCGAAGAAAAAAACGTGCCTACATAATTCAGCACGGATGTGCAAATGCCCTTTTCAAGAATTTTGTATCCCCCCCCCCAATAAAAATAACCTTGCTACGCGGTACGCCCCTGCACTCAGAGACAAACATGCTTTCGCAATAATATTGTCGTCACTTATCTTTAAAGATCAATATTTTAATACATGTACCAATAAATTTAATTTTTAAATATGCTCATGTAGGTGAGAATTGCTGTCAAAAGTGTGTTTCCTTTTTTGCACCATGCACCCTGTACATAGAACTTACACTCCGATCCGACCTCCGACCACTTACGCGCATGGCGGTTCGTGTCTCTTCGGCCAAATTTCCGGCTTTTAGGAGAAGTCTGACAACAAAATTCCAAAAGGTGAACGTTCCTTTTGCCAAAACTGTTGGGCATAATAAAAACATAATCTTGTACAGTTAGCAGGTCTCATGCTGTGAAAGATGGCCACCGTTTGCACTTCATGGTGATAAATAAAGGCTATTAAAAATGCATGTTAGACATACAATTATATTTCTTTTTCAAAGCTTTCAAAGCCGATTGTGTTGGTGGTCGAACCCCCCCCCCCCCCACCCACCTACGGTCCTGCAATTATTTAACACATTACTCCCTTTTAACGTGTAATTTTTTGGTTTCTATAGTCTAGGGGGAAAGTATCTTTAACTTAATAATGGGGAAATGTATGGGTTCTTCGGAATAAAATGTCTGAGGAAAATTTCTTCGACCTTCCCGAGCGAATTTGTCAGCTTTATCGATTTTGGTTGATTTCAGATCTAAAATCGCTTGTAATTTCATATTTGATGACGTCAGAATAACGTCAAAATGATATGATATCGATGTCCCATTCAAAACTTTAAGGGCCTATATTTCTAGGAAAAGAGCAATTCGGAAAAAAATATTATCATTCGACTCAGGTAAAACTCAAAATAGAATGTGAACTCATCTTAATTAGTAAGGCAGAGTAAAAAACGTTCCGGTTGATCGTCCCGCCTGCTTTCTTTGTTGAGGCTGCATCCATTTGTATATAATTTCGGGCATAACATAAAAAAGGAGAAGTTTCGGAAGTTCGGATGCTCGTAAGTTATAATGTTCAATAAGCATTTTAAGAATATTTTGTGGTCATCAACTATAAGACACGGGCGCGGATCCGGGGGGGGGCGGTAGGGGGCTAAACCCCCACCCCCTCAGCTCTGTCAAAAAAAATTGTGTTTTTTTTTATAGAAATTCATAAAAATAATGATAACTCCCCCCCCCCCGCTCTGACACCCCCCAAAAATAATACTGGTATTAATATTTTGATAGATACGCCAATAGATACATCCAAAAATATGGACAGATGCTGGGTTGCGGGGGTATTTGTACACTATCGTCGGATTTCAACAGCGCCCCCAATGAAAGTATGTTTGTTTTTGCGGAGCCAAAAAAACCCTGTCCACATTTCAACATTGATTTGCTGATGAACCCCCCCCCCCCAGCAAAAAAATTCCTGGATCCGCCCCTGAGACAACTGTATACCTAGAACTATCAAATAAAAGGGGCCTTCTCCTTTGTAAGACACATATCGCACCATGTAAGCTTAATATGCTCAATAACAAATCAAAAATATAAAGGCCCTCATCCATTTGTTTAAAAAAAACAACAACAACAACCGGACGACCAACTGGTGTCAAGAACAAAATTGGAATAGTTTCTCAGTCCCTGGTTCATATCTTGTCATTTTTGCAATAAATGACCTTCATTGAGATGATATATATGAAGAAAAACGTGGCGTCGGGTTGCAACATTTAAAATTTTTTTTTTTTTAATATTCCTCCATGCCTGATGGCGGCTGCCTGGTGAAAGCTGCGTATGTACAGCTGTTGTAATTATTTAATATAGCTAGCTCCGGAATTTGACAAAAGAGGGCGCTGTTGCGTGGCACGAGCATGCATGGAATTGGAAGTGCGAACTTGAAGGTTGAGTTCCGTCAGATTTAATTGGATGAAATCGCCGACTCTGGAAACAAAGTTTTATGAAGTGACATTTGTTTGCTGAGGAATGTGTCTTGATAAAGGAGAACTTTAGGTAATTAATAGTTCTACTAATTTCTTTATTTCCCTACTTTTATAGTAGTTTTAGTTCAATCTTGCGAAGGTCGTGTCACTTCTCATTGACAATGACAATTGACATTCATGACATTGAATCATACATGTGTTTGTATAGTCGGACTCCCTATTATCGCGGCATCCCTATTATCGCGGCATGGGAAATTTCTCTTTTTACAGTGTCAAAACTCCTTCAAGTGGCGATTTTTATCCAGTTCACCAGTCATCAAGGATTTTCTACCGAGTTGTATAAAAAGGACGATTAAAAAATGGTGTGTCTTTCGGGACTTTTAACGATTTTAATAAATATTAACGTTTTCCAAAACTTGCGAAATTTTCCCTCACCGTGTCTGCTAAAAGGTACCGTTTATATTTTAACATAAATCTTTAATTGCGCTCTGTCCATGAAAGTTCCATTGTCTGGTTCCCATTCTTCAGCTGCAAATGTAAAATGAAGTCGAACGACGATATTTGCAGCGCGAAATCGTAACAACTTTTACGGGATCAAAATAAGCACCGCGCGTTAGCGAAAATAAAACGGCACACCGTGTAAAGTGAATGGCGCCCTCAATCGCCGATCAGTAGACTTGCCTCAGGGATTTTGTTCTCCTTTCGGGGAAGGGCAGGGTCTTAAGAAATCATCCTGCAGACATTTTGTCTTTAATCAACTTGAACGTTACAGGGAAAATATCAGACTTTATTCAGGGCGTGTTTTGGTCAAACATAAACTATGAACAAAAAAGTTGGGATCATTATAAAAGCCACTTCCCGCATACCGCGATAATAGGGAGTCCACCTCCGTTCGCACACGCCGCGCATGTCTATTTTCACAGGCATCGTACACGGAATAAACCACACCACCGTCAGATTTTTTTATATTAATTTAAAAAGGAAGAGTTATACTACACATAAGACAGGACAATTCTGGAAGGTTAGTGGGCAATCTCTATTCCGAACGAGAAACGTGATAAGTACCGCGATAATACGGCGTTCCATCCTACATGGTGGAAGTGTGGCCTTTATTTACGGAGGTAGTCCAGTAAATTGGCCGGATTTATGTGGCTAGTGTAGCCAAAACATTTTGGAAATCACTCAAAGGAAAGATTCCCCTATCTGTCCAAAGTGGCCATCACTTGTCACCCAGCTAGCCCAGTGCACAAACCTATGAGACTGGTCTGAAAATTTCTAAGCGTTTTCTTAGTAAATACTTCAATATTTTCCCTGCAAAATTTGACTTTTTAGGACATACATGTAGGCCTAGGCCTACATGTATTGTCGCTTTCTGATGGTTGATAGGTCACTGCAGGGAAAAATTAGTGATTGCCAGATGTGGGAATCTTTCCCACTCAAACATTACCCATGATCCAGTTCGGGGAAATGCCCGCTTGTTTTGTAACTGGTCTGTGAAAGGAAGCGCGTAGAACTAAAGTCAAAATTCTGGTGAACGAACGTAGCCAACAACTAGTATCATTTTGTATTTGCTAGGCCTATGTTAGGTTTTCTTGTAAGGAAATAATCTCAAGTATCACTGAGTATTAATGATTGTGGCATTTGAATTAAATTAATTGCCATTTTCGCTTTGAACATTTCAACATTTATTTCATGTTGGTAAAAGGTATACATTTACAACAATAAATAATAATATACATGTAAATTACAATTATTTACACAAGTAAAACATTAATTAATCGGTTAATTACAATCACGAAAATCTTCTGAGGACTTGGGCTGAGGTCCTCAAGTTTATTGTTTCAAATCGTCAGGGATAACCAGCTACATACATGTAAAGCTGTTTTACTGATGAATGTACATGTACACACCCAGACTGGGAGTAGACTAGTCTGTGGATCAGACATTCACGTGTGAAGAGCCACACAAACCAACGTCTGATATATCCTAGCATACAAATTTTATGCGGCCCTGCGCGCCAGCCAATTGGAGGCGACTTTAGAAACGGTGACGTCGTTTCAATCAGAATTGTGGACTAAGCTGTCGAGTGGGCAATCTGTCTGCCATATTTTTGTCGTACAGCAACTGGTTATGGCCAGAAGACCCGATACAAAGCGCCCGCTGAATGGTCAGAATCACGAGGTCAAGACCATTATGCGAGTCGTAAGGTCAAAAGTTGGTGTGATATTCTTGAGCGAATTTTACCAACTCAACCAGACCCAGAACCAGAAGGCGCAGTCTGTTTTGCCTAATTAATCGCCGAATCTGTTTGCATATACTGGGACCTTGTGTGCCGAAAAAACATGCAAAATAAAATCTTGCCAACTTTGCTCACCCTTTAGCCAACAAACGTCTCCAAAATTTTCACGAGGCAAAGACAAGGTCGTCAGTATTTCACCAGCAAAGTTTGAGGTCTCAGTTCAATTTTTTAATGTGAGACTTTTCTTCAACAATTTGAAGCTGGGAGTGAGGGCCAAGTGATTTCGACGTGGTACATATCCAACGTCTTGAAGAAGATTGACCATTCAGTAATCTGGTGGCATGATTATGGAGAGAATGTGTAGAAATAGGTACTCAAGGTACCGGGTGTTTCTTTTGGCACGGTTGATTGATGCAGTACTAATGGGGTGTTGGACTGGTTGTTCCATGTGGCAGTCTATTTTCTCGTATTGCATGTTTTCATTATCTTAATTTTTGGGACTCTTGTACACGGTATTGAGGGTCGCACATTTTCAAACTAGTACACACTACATGTACGCAGCCATTGTAGCCTGATTTGCATGGACACATGGACTCTGCGCGCAAACAAGAGAGGGCGCCTTTTACCACTTTTTGAGAGCCCAGTGGACAGGACATGTCATGAGCGCTTATGGCGTGAAGCAAGCACAACTCATTTTGTTCTGATTGTGCGCATAGCCATACCTTCTTTGCGTGAGGGTCATGTATCGTCGACAATGCGTTCCAATGTTTCTCCCAGTGGTCTGTACAAGTTTGTGCATGGAGCCCATACACCTTGCTGGGGTCGCACACCCATCCAAATTTCATTAAGAATAACAAATTATGCCCATAAAGCATAGACTATCAACTTTGCTACATTTCATCCGTAAACAAAAAAAGGAAAACCACAAAAAAAATTGGCTAAAAGATAAGTCGCGGCGTGACAGCGGAGCTTGCTTTGAAATTCAAGGGCAATCCCTTGCATCTATTACTTCCCAGAGCGTTGGGCCGAGCTACAACACTGCCAGCAGCTGCCAATCAACAAACCCGCAGTCCTCGCATAATCATCAGAAAACGTCACTCCATTCATCTGAGCATTCCATCTGCCGTCAGCATTCCTGCAGCTGTGGGATTTTGCATCAATTTCTCTGTGGTATGGTTCATATTCATTCCATTTTTCTTCCCATGTTTAAAATTGCCGAACAAAATTAAAAGCCATTTTTTAGGTGGCGCCACGTCCGCGCGCATGCCGCACGCTTTCTTGAAGACGAGGTGCGCGCGCGCATTTTGATATAAACCCTATTGGTCGAGGGAGCGCGGAGTGCGTACCTGAGCACGACTTGCTCGAGCCTGGTGCCACCGCAGAAAATGGCTGTTACTGCATTACACTGCATTAGTCTTTAAAGGGCGCATGCCATGTAATTTTTTTATGCAATCCTTGAGAATGCACCTTTGAGTCCCATTTAACATTATTTTTGTCAATTTTTCATTTTTGCCATTTTAAAGGGTATTTTGGTGCTTTTGGGGGTTTTCATGCTCAGACAAAATTGTGATATCATTCCGGATGGAAACTGCTATTTCAGCACAAAATGTTGCTAGAAGTTTGGATATTTGCCGTCGTAAATTTTCTTTTCTTTGGTGATCCATTGTCATGTTGGTGCAGGCGCGGATCCAGAGGGGGGATTTTGGGGGTCAAAACCCCCCCAGCCCTGCCCAATTTTTTTTTTTTTTTTCCTAAAAAATTCCTAAAAAATAAGTCAACACCCCCCCCCTGCTGTGACACCCCCAAATAGTTATACTGGTAAAATGTTTGCCCGTTCAAAATACAGTACACCATTCTGTAACCTAGTCGAATTTGAACAGCGCCCCCTATTGAAATATGGTACCATTGAAATATGGTTTCACAAAATAGGCTCTAGAACAAAAACCACACCGAATCGGGCGATGTTGGTATCATTTTTCTTTTATCAGAATTCCCCATGCATTGGTAGAGGTTGTTTGAGTTTCAGGGTAGCGAAAGTACGTAGTTCTCTTTTTTTGGGCCACCCTGTATAGGACTGTAACAAAATTATGACTTAATGTTATAAATAAATCATTTTAATGCTATGTGCTTATATATTGGTCTAACGCCTTGTGGTGAATAGACACTGGGGGGTTGGCAAAATAAAGAACCAATGATTTCCTTTTTAATTTTCTGGTTTTTTTTTTTTCGTTTTCATTTTTGTAATTTTAATTTGGTTTCTCTCTTAATATTTGTTAGATTTTTTGTCTTGTCTTGTTAACATACCGGTTCATGTGGTACGTTTACTGAAATTGCAAAACAAAACTATGTAACAATGCATATACAATCTATAAAAATTACCACAAGCTGTCCAGCATGCTTGGATTTGACAAATTTGTTAAATTTGAACATCAATAATTTGCCACTACCGTAAAAATAGTCCGGCCCCTGCAGCAAAACATTTTAGGCAATAATTTTTGACAAAACTCAAACTTCTAAGAGAAATTTGGAAAAAACAAAATTGTGAGCTTCCCCCCAAGGCTGTATGAGAATCCAGGAAGTTCTAGGAAACGTTTTTAAAAATTAAATAATTGATGGGGAGTTGCGGAAACTAAGGCACGAGAGGTCGTAATTTTAACACTTCTTTTACAGGTCCCGTTGATTACGAGCACTGCACCAACAACAGCTGAAAGAGAGTTGAATAAAGTGTTACTGGTTTAACCTTCATTTCGTGTGCCAACTCGTCATTCCTTCAAGAACTCTGCAGAGACCTAAAAGACGCTACAGTGCACGTATGTGTCTGACGGCGTTTGTGTTAAACCCAGACCCCGGGGATGGCGGATATCGTCTCATACTCGCCTTCAACCGAGATGAGTTTTACGAGAGACCCACCAAACCCGCCGAGTTTTGGGACAGGAATTCCGACATAATAAGTGGTAAGATCGAGAAATTTGAGCGTTGACAATAGAGGGCTCTCTCACTGACCCACATGACCTGGCTTACATCCGGGTACTGGAAAGTCAGCGTTGCCATTGTAGCAGGCAAAGACTGTATAGTTTATCTCCGGTTTCAGTAGCATGAAAAGACTGAGTATACTTGTATTTTCTATTCCCCCTGGACAGGATGCTATTAATTCTCCTGGGTGGAGAGAGAGAGAGACAAGTGGGGGTGAAGTGGCTTGCCCAAGGACACAACATAAAGCCAGTAGTTGATTCGAACCTCTGACCCTCTGATCATGAGTCACAAACCCTAACACTAGACCACACTCCCCCTTGGCTACAGGGCTTTAACTTTTGGTCTTAATATTTCCGTTTTTCATATTTCCGTATGTTTTTCAGGTCAGGATATGTTTGTAGGCAAGGAGGGAGGTACCTGGCTAGGTATGAGCCGATCGGGCCGGCTGGCCATGCTTCTGAATATCCTGCAACCTGACGGGATTAACCCAGATGCTAAAGGAAGAGGTGAGTGTGTTGAACAGGTGACCCACCTGCCCGTCAATCAAAGAGTATGCATTGACCAATTAGATCATGAGTTTTTGTCAGGTGACCACAAAAGCTCAGTCAAACTCTGTCACAGGCACTGTGAGAAATGTACTTGAACCCAAAATGGTTTCAGGCTCATGGCGACTTCTGGAATGGTCAGTTATACTGATGTCATGGGTGTCATGCATTTACAAGAATGTAGAAAAGCCCATGTCCAGCATCACATTAGTCTACAATTGTTTTGTTGTATTGTGTCAGTACTAAACCAAAAGAACTTAAAAGTTTAGGTTGCAGGGGCAGATACAGGAATTTTTGCAAATCAATGCTGAAATGTAGACATTTTTTTTCTTGGAACACTTGGCATCCATATAATCAATAGGTGTGTGTGTGTGTGGGGGGGGGGGGGGGGCTCGTACCATACTCTTCATGGGGCGCTTTTCAAATCTGACAATTATTAACATTGACATAATAGTGTTGAAATACCCCCATAACCAAGCTGGCTTGTCCAAATTTTGTGCACAGGAGGATATTACAAGAATATTGTTTTGGGTGTCGGGGGGGGGGGGGGGTTCACACTATTTCTAAGGTATATCTATGAAAAACAATTTGAAACAGAGCTGGGGGTTTCAACCCCCCTCCCCTTGGATCTGCTCCTGATTTGACTCCAAAACTCATAATCACTTTTCACATCTGACAAGCCCTCATCAGAGTAATAGGAAACAATAGGGACCCCGCTAACACAAAAGCTGGATAGCTCAATTGGTAGGTTACAGATACACTATAGCAATTTTAGCTCAAGCCAATATTCTTTGTTGCACAAAAAAAATGAATCAATTTAGTCTCTTGTTATAAACAGGAAATGATTTGGGTGGTTAAAAGAAATGGGGTGGTGAACAGTTTTTAGATCTTCCCTTTTGAAAAAGTCAGGAAGCTTTGGAAATCATGAGTCCTAAAATTTGTGAGGAAAATGATGAAAAAAACTGGTAGGGTTGGAACAATGTAGCAGAGTTTGGCACATTTCCATTATCTGGGAATGTTACCAACTCTCTTTAAAATCTAAACCTCTCCGAGGATCTACCCTTGGAACTTTTTTAATTTTCTGGCATTGTATTGAAATTTCAATAAAATTTCTCAAATGGCTCTATGCACTCTTCACACAGGCTCCCTTGTGTCAGACTTTCTGGAAGGTAGCATGGATGGCCAGACCTACCTCCAAGGCATAGCAAAGGAATGCGATTCGTACAACGGCTTCAATCTCATCACTGTGGAACTTGGGTAAGGAAGCCAGGCTAAACTAAAGAAAAATCAGAGACTTAAATGTCTGTGTGCTTGCAACACATTGTGAAATACAGAGTACATGACGTTTGTTTACAAACTTGCCATTCTTGGTCGCGTGATGGTGGTTTTTGCCGGGGGAAAGGCTAACCACTCAATTCTACAATGTTATACCGTACAGTTTGAAGAAAGCAAAAGACAGATGTTCAGATGGATGTTGTTCCTGTTTCTAGCCTAATGGCAATGATGTCACATGTAATATGGACAGGGGGCTGTGTGTGCAAGTACCCCTCGATTGTGAATCTGACATATCGAAGGGCGCTTGCATGTTGTGCCATTGGAAACCTTCGTGCCACGCGAAGGTGCATTCGTCTCACGTGAAGACTTCATAAGTTTGGGCACATTCAGTGCAAAATTGGTTGTGTGCACTCAGCAGATGTGGCCACAGAATACCAACTGCTCTTCCTGTATGAAGTTTGTAAGGATTGTGTACTTTTTCAGGGGGTTAACATTTTGAAACTGTTTCTATTTTTTCATTTGGGAAGAATTTGTGCTGTACGAGCGACCAATTTCTCATGGAACGTGCACAGAACTACAGTGTTTAGTTACTGGCTTTGCTATATATTTGCAATCGCGGTGTCCTGCCACTGACAGAGAGTTGTGTAATGAAGATGTTCTCTGCTTTACATTGTGTTTACTGTGACTTTTGTTTTCAGGAATAATGGAAGCATAGATGCTAACTACTACACAAACTATGCCCTGGAGGCGACAGACCCCATCAAACTGACCTCAGGTTGGTGCTGTTTCTTAGACGCATATGTTTGTTAATAAAATGACTTAAAAATATGGACTTTGTGGGAGTATTAACTGTATTCATGCAATCCACTGAAGTACACATAATGTGCACTGCACTGATTTGAGCAAGTGAAAGACGCGCACCTCGCTAGCCAGTTTTAATCTGAATGTCCACAAACGTGTAGCAAAAACCCTCAGCATGATAGGGATGGACCTTGGGTTGGTGCAAGAGAAAATGGCACTCGTGGCTTAATATTACAGAGTTGGCATAGAATTTTCTGCTGGACGGTTAACACGGTATGGTGCTTGTGAGCACAGAAATCAGTGGTAAGCAGGGCCATGAAATTGGGCCTTGTTGCAACTTCAAAGTGATATTAATAAGTACTTAAGAGCTTTTTTTCCCAGTTGTTTTAGTAGAGTTCGGGGGGAGATCTTCCATAATTATGGGCAAGATCCTCCACACAACAATGTACTACATTTTGCCTCTGGAAATCCCCTCCCCCCCCCTTTTCCCTTGTGGTCACAGCAACACAGCGGCAACTGTAAAATGCCGTGGTCTTAGACTAACAGTACCCATTTCAGACTTGACCATAGTTTGCAGAATTTGTCAAACGCCAACTTTCTGAACTGTCAGTTTTCAATCAAACATATCATCCAAGTTTTTTTTCTTTTTTTTTTTCTTAGTCATTTAAAAAAAATCAAGAAACAAACGGTGTCCAAAAGTAACCCTTACCACATTCGGGTATTTTTCTGGCGGTATGTTGGATCAGACAAAATTCATGGACAGTCAAGTTCAAAACCTGCTGAATCCCACAGAATCCAGCACCTACAACCATGTGGTATTTTAGTTCCCGCTTGATCTGATCAAATATTGCCGCTGTTGGACATTGATGGATTTAGCATGGTTATGCAATAATAATAATAACAGGTTCTTATATAGTGCTTTTAACTTGGATCAAAGCGCTTGACATTTTTATTACCCCTGATCATTGGGCCAATGAAACATTCCAAATACCATCGCAGCTCCCTGGGGAGCATACAGCTCGATGCTGCCTGTTATAGGTGCAAGGAAGCTAATTCAATCACAGTAACCATCTCTGCCCTCACAGGTACCCATTTACTCCTGGGTGGGGAGAAGCAACAAGTTACAAAGTGCCTTGCCCAAGGGCACACGTACCATAACCCCAGGCTGGACTCGAACCCACAACCTGCAGAGTTACCCGCATACCGCGAATTCAATGCTCCAGACCACGAGACCACAGCATTAACTGGTTTTAAAACTTCATTCCTTTGTTTTCCAGGTATACATACATTCTCAAACCACACAATCAACACGGCATGGCCAAAGACAGATCACGTACAAACAGAACTTGAGAAAATCGTCCAAAATGCACACAGCCTTACCAAAGAAGAACTAACAGGAGAGTTATTGGCAATGATGGCTTGCGATGTACCGTAAGTATACAATGTATATCTTTCTTTGTTGACCCTAAAAAAGTTGTGCAAGTTGACGTCTTTAAATTTCTCAAAAAGTATCCAACATCAGCATTTCATGTTGATGGAGTGTACTGTTTGTACCCTTCTTTATAATCACATCGAAACTTTGATGAAAATCCATTCATGCAAACCAGAAATACAACAGATTGTCAATGGCAATGTCTTTTTCATCTGTTCCATGGTGATTTACCAGCCATATGGTTGTGAAGGCAAAGCGTATATCGTTGATTTAAGCAAAGCTAATCGGATTACGTACTTAGACGCTATAATAGAGCAGTGAAATTCATGCACCCAAAAAACATGGCCTTTCGAGCGTTGTGTTTCTCAGAAAATATGCTCAGTATGATTGAAATGTTAAATTATAACGGAAGAAGAAATTCTAACTTCATGTCAGTGAAAAAATCGCCATCATCGATGCCAAAACGTCAATACTAGTTACTGGTAAAGCTGACCTTCAAGTCTGGAAGAAATCATTCGAAAATTTCCCCAAATCTATGTATTTATATCAATTTCTAGGGATTTCTCCAAGTTGCTATTTCTCGAGTAGTTGAACACTTAAATGATCTAAGTATATTCCGAACTTCAGCTTTAATAATCTGTCGTTGCAAACGCCAGTGTTACACCTTGAGCTTCATGTATCTCCAAGGAAAATTTCGACGAGGATCGCCTGCCAACGTGAACATGTCTGTGTACATGTAGTTTCATTCAAAATAAAGTGTGGCATAACCTTTAGAAATCACCCTTTGCCCTTTGCAACCACACGGCTGTTACTCAATAATGAAAAGACCCATTGCAGAGTGCCGGTTGAGCGATTTCCAATGCAGTGTGTAATTCCCATTAGAATGGTTGAAAAACACACGTTTACCTATCCTTTTATAATCTGTTACAGCTCTGGTTTGCATGAATGGGTTTCCATGACATTTTCACTGATTATATGCAACAGTATAATTAATATGCTCCATCAAAATGAAATACTCATGTTAGGTACTTTTTGAGAAATTTAACAATATCTGCCTGCACAACTTTTCAGGGGTCACCCTGTACATCATCATTTATTATTAAATTAATGCATTTCTGTTTGCATATTCAGTTCTAGAATTATGTAGATGGATTTCTGTGACATCATCTTTTGTGTCGCATTCAGTCTGTGCATGTAGTGAACAATGTGCTGCCACTAAATTAGGCTTAACAGTACAGATGCAATAATTATGACGTCATAAGCAGGCATGCAAAATTTTCTCAGATCAGCTGATTTTTCTTTCACTTCACACTTACGCCTCTCACTGCTGTGGCCTGGGTTCGATTCCCTGCTCGGGTCATACATGTATGTGAGTAGAGTTGTTGATTGATTTTCTCCGGTGCCTCGAGGGTTTTTCTCTGGGCTCTCCGGTTTTCCTCCCTCCGCAAAAATCAACACTTTCGATCTCTGACTTTGATCCGTGGTCAGACATGGGTTGTATGGGGGCTGCCTTTATGCTTTACCTGCCTTCGGCTCGACCATGTTGTAGCCGCGTCCTTCGCAATTCAGCTTCTGCTATGAGTAAGGACGAGTAGCATCCCCCTCCTTATAAAATTGGCAAACATTATAAAGTCTTATAATACTTGGAATTTTGTTGTTGTTGTTATTTCCCAGTTGCATGCCTGCACGAAAAATTTATGCAGTATTATAGATTTGTAATTGAGCTTTCAAATCTAGAGACTACGTATATTTATATCCAACAGCAGCCACCTCTCCCAGATCTCAATGCACTATGTGCACATAGGAGCGACACATATGGACCAGGAATGTTCCATGTTTTTTAGTTGCTTCCTAAAATACAAATCAGTGATGTGCAATTATGGGTTATACAGGAACCGGGTACCCTATTGAAGTAAAAAATATGGGTACCCGGGTATCCGTAAAAGAAACCCAACCCCAAAATTCAAATGCTGGAAGTTGTCTGAAGGTCTTTAGGCCCCCCAAAAAAGTCTCCGGTTTCTGGTATGCGCGCGCGTCTCAAAACCGCCAAACTCACTGGTTTGACTAGAATCCTGCTGCTGCACAATTTTAACGTGTTTTTAGATGGGGTTATGGTCGAGAATCAGCTTTATGTGGCCTCTCTGGACTCCCATATATTTGCACTAAGTTTAGTCGGGCACCATTTGCAGTCATCAGCCGACATTTGAAGCAAAAAAAATTAAGTAAAAAAAAAAAAAAAAGCAGCGTCGCCGCACCACTTATTGGGCAAGCTCCATACCAGAAACCGGAGACTTTTTTTTTTGGGCCTTACGGTTGTTAACGGTAGCGTTACGGTTTAAACTGCACTGTCACGAGCGTCATCTGTCGTGCCTTAAAATGCACACAGCGGTTTTCATTGAGAAAATTCCCCACAAACGACATTCAAAATCTTCCTTTTTCATTGTCTGAGAAGTTGCTAAGTAATTTGTAAAGTTGGTTACGGGTACCGGATCCTGTAACCTGGAACCGGTTCCTGACATCAACGGTCGGGTACTCGGGTACCCGGTTCCGATGCACACCCCTAATACAAATACATGTTTTTGGCTTGCCAGGCTTGTGTCCAGTGCAGACATTTCCACAGAAGACATGGACATCTCTAAGTTCAAAGAAATGCTGAAGGAATTGGTGTTCATCAAGTCAAACACATATGGAACAAGGTATGTACTCCTATTTAAAGATAAAGTCCATCATTTGTAATGTGTGCATTTTGTTCGTTTGGAGCACCAAAAGTGTTCAAAATATAATGAAGGATACTGAACAACTAACCTGATGAAGTTTCAGCTCAGCTTTCCGAGAAAAACAGCATTCTAGGATCTCAATTTCAAATCAAAAGTTGCTGAATCATGTTTTGAATTGTTTTGAATTGCAGCTATACGTGATGTCGCGCACTGATCCGACGAATTATAGCAACCGCGCGCGCCTGTGCGTTGTGCCAATGCTTGCGCATGCTGCGCCGAATAACAAAACGAACTACTAATTAAAATTTTCCTACGGTGCGTCTTAAGACGCACCGTTGGAAAGGCCTTCTTTTGTTGATTACTTCAAAACGATAGCTTGCCAGAAAGATTAATTTCACAGGGAGTTTAGTCCACTTACTGTCTTTCAACCAAGTATGTTTTTCAACAATAATACGCCAGTTACTTTTTCGGATAGCTGCAAATGATGGACTATAGCTTTAAAACAGACATTATTTATGCACTGCATTTGAAGTTTGTACGAGGGGGAGGGGGAGCTGGATATTACAGTGGGGTGTGCCCAATTTCTGTTAATACACATGTTAACTATGGTTGCTGATAGGACTAACAAATTTTCAGGGGGGGGGGGGGGGAACGACTGGTGGGGGGGATGACAAATTGTTCAGAGTTTTTTGTTTTTTTGAAAAAAAAATTTTTACATTTTTTTCTCAGGACCACAACTGTTATCCTTATTGATGCAGTGGGAAATGTCTCATTCACTGAGAGGACACTGAGAGAACCAATCGATCCAGCCCACCCGGATTGGGAACAGCGGAATCACACATTCTCCCTGCTTTAAACCCTTCCCGGCCCTTTAAAATCCAGCAGGAGGTCTAGCAGGATACTGGCGTGATTGAGGAAGGTAGAGCCCAGCCACTGTCACTATGCATAGAGATTTTAACACACGTTGGCTCAGGGTAGCTTATATGAAGTTAACAACAAACACGCTTTCTTGTGAACAATTATTTCATATAGATCTACCGCTGGTTTTGACACACAGTCTGTGGTGATGGTGCATTTGGACTGCTAATCTTGCTGGGTCACTGAATCAGGCCAATTTCGCCCAAATTTTAAGATATTTATTTTAAATCAGCCAATTCCCCTAAGATGCAACCATACTGGCAGTTTCCATTTTTAACTGTAATGCACTTCTATGCAATTATTATTTTTTTTGGGGGGGGAGGGGCATTTAAAAATTTTTGGAATGCCTTGCTATATTATTACATTGTCTTTATGTCGTATTCCATTTTCTAGTGCATATTGTCAAGGCATTATTTTATGTAATTATTGATAATAGTTTTTTTTAACCTCTATCATAATCGAGTACAGTCCTAAAGTGATCAAATGTGATAAATTGTGCAATTTAATATGAACATGGTTTCAGAAGTATGAGCAGATGTAGTAGCGTGATAGACCTTTTGAAATGTAAATTCGTTAAATACTTGCGTTATTTTAACCCCTTGAGTACTTTATTTGCATATTTGCCTCAACAGTACACATGTACTTTTCAATTTTTTTAATAGCTGCAGTAGTTACTGACTGAAACTCTCTAATGGATTTGGAAAGTGCAAATCTTGTAGCAAAAGATAACCAATTTGAAATGGTTTTGGACATGTTTTGTTTGGTATTTTTATTGCACAAATTTAATGGAGAAAACGTTTTCAATGAGCAAAGGTTTGGTTCATAATTTGTATAAAAAATCCATAAACTTAAAAGAGTGTGTGCTAAAAAGTGACATTATTGCAACAGCATTCTTGGTTCTCGGGAAATGGTGTGGAAATTGTAAATTGCTAAAAACACAAGTTGTTTTCGGAGAATTAATTAAAAACTGAAAATAAAATATAACCATTATTCTACCAAAGTGTCTGAGGTGGAAACTTGTATTACGCCCTCTTGTGACTGATTCTAGAAAATTCCTTCGTGATTCTCGTTCTGTTCACATGTTCATAAAAAATATTTTTTAAGCCTGCGAGGTGCAATCGTTTTCTTTTAGTTGTAATCCACCACGGTACTGAACTTCTTTGCTCAATTTAAAGCAAGCAGCTTTACTTCACAAGCCTTGTGGTTGGAACTGGACAATACAAATCCAATGGGAGTTGGTCTGGGTCTGATCTTTGCCTCAGAAATTCTGGGTCAAAAGTTCAACCAGGGAATAATCTCTTCTCAAAGTGTCTAAATAGATGGATAGAGCCCCTCTTCGCTCAATTTAAAGCAAGCAGCTATACTTCACTAGCCTTGTGTTTGGAGCTGGCAATACAAATCCTATGGGAGTTGGCCTGGGACTGATCTTTGCCTCAGTAATTTTGGGTCAAAAGTTCAACCAGGCTTAAAGGGGCATTGACGATGCTTTTTAGCTACCGGTATTTCTCAATAGGGAACTTGTGGAGTATGAAATCTTTTCATGAAAAAATGATAGGGTGATTAAAAATACAATGTCAGTACTGTTGCACACTAAAGAGTTAAATTAAATTTAAAACCCCAAGGTAAACTGGCCGTACATAGATATTAAAGAAACACAGCTTCCATCACATGGCCCAATCCAATTACATGTCTTAAGCACGGCATCAAGACAGCTTCAAGACAGGCTATTATAGTTATACTATCCACCAGCCCTTTATCAGTCACACCCAACATTTCCACGGCTTTGCAACGCACACACATATTATTGTCGTCTTCATTGTAATCTGTGAACAATCATTAATTCGCCTTGACCCCCTGGGTATTTTTTGTGACAAATGTTTTTTTCCAGCAATTATTTCAATAAATGGTTAGAGAGTTCTGACATCAATCCCAAAAAAGAAAACCTGCTCACAATCCATAACAATACGCCGTGAAAATGGGCATATAATTTGCTGTATGCATAATAATTGTCAGTTTTGAAGAGCGCCCCCATTTGGAAAATAGGTACCACCCCCCCCCTCCGACATCAAAAGCTGGATACGCTACTGACCATGTCCATGAAAATCCTTCACTCAAAAACAAGGAACTTTCAAATTAATACAGGTTGTGGGATAATTGTACAATTAATCTCTAAAAACTAATAAAAACAAATAAATGCGAAATGTCCCCCAGCGAGCGCAGCTTGTGCTAGGTTTTTAATAATTGGCAGGACTTTAAACCGTGAGTACCTGTCCTACATTGTATTACATTAGTTTTATTGTCTGACAATTCCATATAACCATAAATCAGTGCTCGGGCACTAACAGGAGTAACCGGCTTATGTGTGGTACATGGAGTCTAGGGTTCAATTCGTATAAACTTGTAATACAGGGCAAGTCAAAAAACACAAAACCCAAATGTCGGGACTATTGTTTTAGTGAAGTTCTACATGTAGCACTTTCAAAATTTAGGAGATGAAAGCCCAATTCATGAGCTTTTATTTAGTACAAGAAACATTTAAATCACTTGTGTACTTTTCAAGTTATGAAATTTTAAACACAACCACTGTTTTAAAAGTTCTGTCCACGGATCACACAAAAGGTGTGCTTTCTTTCAGCAAAACGAAAACATACCTTTTTGTGATCCGTGGACAGAACTGAACTTCAAAACGGTACTTGTGTTTAAAGGTCTGTAGCTTGAAAAGTACATGAGTGATTTGAATGATTCTTGTACTAAAAGAAAGCTTATGAATTGAGCTTTCATATCCTAGATTTTGAAAGTGCTACATTTAGAACTTCACTTAAATCATGGTCCCGACATTTGGGTTTCATTTTTTTTTTACTCACCCTGTACTTATGCCGGGTTTGACAGTGATAAATTAGGCCAAACAGGCACCAGACAATCACAAGATATCTGCATGCAGTACATTTTCCCCCCAGAAAAATACCAATTATAATGAACAGTGATGTTCTTTCATACTTCTTAAACTTGTCCTATAACTTGTGATTCCTATTCTCCAGCTCGCAGCCAAGTTTGACAATGTTGGGCCACAGAGTATTAAACAATCTTGTCAAATCTTCATGCACTACATATTTTTTTCAAAAAAAAATAAAAATAAATAATACAAGTATGAAAAATGCCATTCTTTCACACAAGACATTTTTAATTTTTAATTTTTTAACCTCAGAAACTTGTGACATGGATTATTTGGTGCCAAAAAAACCCACATTTTTTTAAATATGAGCCCAGTTTGCTATTGACAGATCATGCTAGACATGGGCCAGACAGTAAATATCTTCAAGCACTACAAACTATTTAAACAAATTCCAGTGAATGAACATGGCTGCTCTTTCACACAAGGCATACTTAGTAAACTTCAACTGTGAACTGTGTTAAAGTGACAGTATTCATCAGTGTTGTAGTACTCGGTACTCGTACTCGAGTACTACTCAAGTACTTTTTTGGAGTACTCGTACTCGTACTCGTACTCAAATGTCAAAGTACTCGTACTCAAAAGGACGGTACTCGCACTCGGGCAGCAAAGTACTCGTACTCGACATGTTGAAATTGTACTCGATCATCAAAGTACTGGTACTCGAATAGCAGTACTCGGGGGGGAAATGGTATAGCTTGACTTTATATACCACGGCCCTATTTTATTCATACTTTCAGTTTGAAATGGTTGATTGGCTTGTGGAGAAATCAAAGTTTCCTGATGTTTCCTCTGTGCACGTCCGGACAAGCACATTTAACAGCTAGCTAGTGGGTCTGTATATACAACTGTAGATCTGTTTGACTGGGCCTGCTGGGCCAATTACGCACAATGAACCATTTGCCGTATGGCCGTATTCGGAAATACAAGACAGTACTCGTACTCGTACTCGGAAGTACAAGTACTCGTTCTCGGAGGCTGTTCTTGTACTCTGAGGTACAAGTACTTGTACTCCTACTCATACTCGGCAACCTAAGTACTCGGCAGTACTCGGTACTCGGAAAAAAAGTACTCGACTACAACACTGGTATTACTTGTTAAAATGACAGTTTTTTTGCCTGCCAGTTAATTAGGCCCTGTATCAGAAGTGGGCATTTTTGTCTAAAATGGCTTCGGCTACTCGATGTATATTGCCAGTTTTAAAAGCAAAAGCTGCTGGTTGCCACAAAATACTTAATTCAGAAATGACGGTACTCAATTAAAATATATAATTATTTTGTTGTTGTTGGAATAATTGGATTTGGAATAATTGAAACAAATGGCCTTCAGACATTAATTAAACTTATATTGCTTTCAAGAAAAGACTAGGAACTTTGTAATTAAATTATAATAGAATTCATACAAGATGAAGATGAGGAACAAAATTGTATTTGAACGCAGAAAAAATTGTCATGTTTATTCAAGAGAGGTTTGGAGTAGGTATTGGTATATTTACATCTCTGACCTTTGCCCAGCAACCTGTCCCTTCACTCGGATGATTGTGTAGGCCTTCACTATATACCGGTACGACCGTGCACCGGATTATTTTGTTTTCTTCTCTTAAACTGTGGGACTGTGCTTGTTGGTATGTATGGCATCCTGAGAAAAAATTCAAAATTGATAAATATTCGCACAACAATTTATTTCATTGTGTACCTCCATTCTTGTTGTTACATGCATTATTTTTTTAACTCTCATTATTATAATTTTTTACCGGTCTTGTAATTTTTTTTATTGTAATGCATACAGTTTTTACCTCTGTTTATTTTTAAAAATGTTTCCAATGTTAACCTGCCCACAATTCAGTGAAATAAACCATTTAATAATAATAATAGTAACAATAGGTTAGTAGCTTTCCAAAGAGACATTGCTTTGAAAGCAATGGCCTTGTGACAAATGAATAAGTTTCAATTTTTAAATTACGACTATCATGATTGTAATGATTGCATATTTAATACATAAAAAAATATTTTTTACAAGATGAAATGGAGGACAAATGTTAAGAATTATTACTAGTATAGCTGGTTTGAAAAAAAATGCCATAATGTCGCCCTCGAGCAATTTGCCCAACTACAACTACAGTACCGGTACTTCACAAGTATTTCACATTTTTTTTTACTACTAGTTCTAGAAACCTGACTTTTCACCGTTGTAACTCGAGCATGACAGATAAACCTATGGACACATTTTTTTCTCTCTTTTTTTATTGTCCGTCCTTATTTTTACTTTGGTATGTATCCTGGTGTTGAAACGCATGCATGCATTGTCAAAAAAAAAAAAAATGGTAAACACAATACTGTTTGCATACACATTACATACACATTACCTACACTGTAGTCTGTGTGTAGTGTATATATTTCACAGCTGTAAACCTTAGGATTATTCCATAGTACAACTGGAGCAGACGGTGAATTGCGCAGAACGACTGCTGTGGCAATTAAAGAGATTACAACTAGATACACCGGCATCTAAGGACAAACCTGCCATTCATGTTTAGTTGATATTTGATAAGCCTGCTGGTAACATCTGAAAAGTTACAGTATTGTGAGCAGATGACAGTGCTGCAGTGAATATTGAAGGTCTACATGTACGTATGTACCTGTATGTTTTAATAGCACAAGCGATTCGCCAGTTTAATGTAAGTCCAAAAACTGCATTTCATTTTGAGTATAAAGGCTTTTCATCATCATCATGTGCCGTCTACGATCTGAAGGTTGGCAACTTTGGCTCGCTAGTCTATTCTCTGCCAGACG